GAGGGCCTTATACCTCTCCCTGGCTTCTCCTGGCACTTCCTCCAGTCACAGAAGGAGGCGTCTGGGTTCTAAATGCAGGTGGGCGAGGGGAGCCTCTGCAACAGTGTGATCCCAAGAAGCAGGCAGACACCAGAGTAGAACCCATGGAACCAGCTGGCAGGAGTTGCCAATGGGCTGGCAACGCTGGATCACCAGCCCCACTGGGGAGGCAGACATCGCAAGGTGTACAGATGACTTTAAATTTTTAGTAACTACAGTGAGCCACCCCCATGGACACTGGGACCTGGTTAGCCCAGAAAGACCCTACAAAAAACGCACCTTTGCAAAGGGGATCGCAAGAGCACGTCTCAAACCTTCCCCGGATGGAGCCCTTCTGTCCGCACACACTCGCCCCCACTCTCTTCTCTTCTTCCCACCCCTGTACTCACCCCTCCCTCCAGTCTCAGTGGAGGCTCTCACGCCCTACTGTGCGCCTCTGGACCCCCTGCACCAGTCGAGGCGGTGCGCCAGCCGGGGCCTGGCAGACGCTGCCATCTCGGTCCGCATCGCCCTTTGGCTTCCCATTGATCCTCCGGTGTTAATCAAACCCAGTTCAGAATGGAGCTACAGCTCGCTTCTTGTTCTGCTATGAAATGTGCAAAGCACAGACCATATCATTAACATAAAACTTCCAGAAATAAGGCCACTTTCCAGACAGACTGTATTAATTGCATCAAGCTTCCACAGCTCGGGTGGTCTAATCGACGGTGTCCCATTGGACGGCTCTGGTTATAAAAACCGACACAAAATGAACACTGGGATATAATTGAAGGAGGGGAAAACGATAGATTCTACTGTTAAACCTACTATTTACTTACAGGTATTCTTTTATCTTTACTGTCCCTTAAACCCATGCCAAGAAACCCCAGACTAGTTAAATAACACAGCAAGCACCATCGCAGGAGAAAAGTAAATTGAATTTAACTTTACAAGATTGCCCTGTGATTTCGGCATATACTAATGACTACAACTGACTCCTTCTATTAAATCCGAACTCTTCCACCTTCCTGAGCTGGGACCCCGTGTGCTCTTGGGTGGGACCTTGAACTTCACCAAGCACATGTATTAATCACTGTGGCTGATGACCATTTGCAGCTTTTAAATATGCAATGAAGTTTCTCGGTTCCCTTTCCACCTCCCAGGGCTGGTACATGATCTGAGCCAGCCAAGAGGCTAAATGCCTTTAAGAATGGAGACCGAGGATCCACTTGAAGTCAGATTCCACACGACGCCGGACACGTAACGAGGTGATCTTGTGAAACCCCTTCTGCTCCCGCATGAATCATAGCTCCTGAAGGGCTTGCTCAGCATTATTCTCAGCACCTGGCGTCCAAGGCCTCATTCGATCCTCAAAACAATCCTCCGAAGCATGTACTATGGTTCCCCCCATTTTATAGGTGGGGAAACTGAGGAAGAGGGAAGAAAAGGACTCGTCCAAGGTCACATGGCCATCCAGGACAGAGCGGCCTTCGCTCCAGCAGCGTGATCCACTCTAATGACTGCCTCGCAATTATGGAAACCTCAGAATTGGGATGGGTGTGGGGGGGCCAAAGTCCAATGGTTTTTAAACTGTTCTCTGAACACCCCATGCCCGACCTGGGATCCCAGCCAAGCCCCATGCCCAGCCATCCATAGCATCTCAGTAATTGAAAAGATCAACGGGATCTGTTTCAGAGATCAATATGAGGAGCCTTGTTTCTAAATGTTACATATATATCAGATATATATGTGTGTGTGTGTATGTGTGTATGAATATATATTTTTTACAGAAGGGGAAACTGAGGCCCAGAGCGGGGGAATGACTTATTAAAGGTCACCAGCCAGTTGGGAGTAAGGGCCAGGACGACAGCCTGAGGCTCTTGACTCCATAGGCGCCTTGGAGAAATTCCTACGTGGAACTTCTCAGGGAAGACACTTCAGTTTCCAGGAAGGCCCAGACTCATCATTTCAGCAGAGTCAAAAAGCAACAGGGACCCCAAGTCCCTCCTCCCGCCGTGACCATCAGAAGGTCCGGGGTTGGGGTCCTGGGAGGCAGGGCTGTTTGGGACACCACCAGCCCGCGAGGTCCACAAACACACGTACCTGTGCGGTTTTCTCCCCCCATAAAATCACATCTGTCTATAAATAACTGCGAACGCTTTCACGGGCATGCAATTAACCTGTGCGAAACACGGTTACACCGGGGTTTTCCGTATTAATTTGAAGAGGTGGGTTCGGTGCATCCTGATCGGAAAAGGGACAGTACAGGGTAAGGACGGCAGCCCCTTTCCATGTTTATAGCAGACTGCTTCTTCCTAACGGGTTACTGGGAATTTAATGACTCCATTCCAACTGCTAATTAAACAGGCACTAAAAACACTTAAGCAAACAGCCCAGTGCCAGGGACAGAAGCCACAAAGGGACAAAAACCACTGGAATAGGATATTTTCAGGTATTGAAATTGATCAGAAAATATGGCGGTGCAGGTTAATTAACGGGAACCAAAGCCAACGATGAAAGGGAACGGTGCTGGAAATCCAGGTAGCACGCTGGAGGCTGAGAGCAGGCCCCTGAGGAGGGCCCGGAGGAGAAGTCCCGGGGACCGCAGGAACAGATACCACCCGACCCCACTGCCCTCCCCAGCCCTGCCATCAAATGTAGGGGCTGCTCACAGGCGCTGAGCCCTCGCAGCATCAAGTTCTAGAATGCAACAAGGCCCCTAAACCAGCTGAACCAACGCCCAAGATGAAGCAGGTGCTGGATGACCGCCCCGGATCAAATCCCACCTCTGCTCTTCGGTCCCCTTGGAAGCATCCTCTCTGCAGGTCCCCATTCCCGCTCCTCGCCACCGCCCCCCACCAGGCTGCAGGCTGCAGGAGGACAGGGAGCCGCCGTGCCTGCCTCCGCCTTGGTTTGCACCGTGCCTGTGTAGCGGGTGCCCAAGAAATGGTTTTTAGTGGAAAAATGAATGAATGAATGAGTCAACGAATGAAACTGCACTGTGAGTCCTCAATGTCTCTGAGCCTCACTTTCTCATCTGTAAAGTGGGGAGAGTAAACCTACCTCCGAAGGCTGCTGTGAGGATGAAGTTCAAGAATGCACAGAAATGCCAAGTGCGAGGCAGCCCACAGTAGGCCCTATGAGGTCCCCACCAGGAAGTGGGCGGCACTGTGGCTGAGAGCGGGTGTATGAGGACACAGGGCTGCTGAGCCGACGCGATAGGAACGTCCCCCCGCGTGTAGGCAGAGGCGTGCGGCTCAGCGGGAAGAGGGCTGGCCTTGTCAGAGGCATCCTGATGACAAATCCCAGTTCTGCAGTCTTGGCTGGGCCACTCACCCTCCCCGAGCCTTTACTTCCCCATCTGCAAAATGGGGGTGGAACAGCTCCCACTTAGCCCGGCGGCTTCTGAGGAGAGCCAGAGCCCACAGAGGGTTAAGCCATCTCCCTCTGCCAGGAAGATCGTGTTTCCACAGCGCAGAACTTGACCGAGTCCAGTCATAAGCACTCAGGCTGATCTTTGATAGTGCGGCCCCCCGAGTGGCTGCAGCACTAATTACAGGAAGCCATGAGAGCAGGGCAGCCGCCCAGACGAAGCAGGCATCCCTCAGTCAGCCAGCAGGGATCACCTACAGAGCCGGGACGCGAGCCCCAATCCCCCTGGGCACCGGGCCGGCCTGGGGCAGGCAGCCGGCTTCTTTGCAGGTGGTGCCAACTCCTGCCCCGGCAATTTCAGTCTTTGCTTTGTACATTCGAGGCATAAGCCCAGTACCTATGACGTCACCATCTGTCCTAGTGGGGGTGCTGAAGGCTGCAGGGCAGGCCACCCCACCAGCAGGAAGGCCGGGGGGGGGGCTCCTGACTCTGGAGCTGGGGCTGCCTGTGGCCCTGTGCAGAACTGTGGCCCTAACAGGGACCATCCCTTGGGACAGCTTCAATTAAAAGCAAAGCCTGCCCAATAAAGTTTCCTTTCACCACCCAAGTAAAGAGAAAGCGTGGTGACCAAGCTGGGACAAGCTGAATCTGCCCGGCTCTGCACCCACCCTCTCTTTTCCTGGCCCCTGCCTGGAAATCAGACCACAGGGCGCTCACCGCCGCCTGTGTCTGCGTCAGCATCCCGGCTCCTGTGGCCTCAGTGCATTTCGCACCAGGCCCTGCTGAGATACTGGGCAGGAGAGGCTGAGATGAGAGGCCCCTGCCTGCAAATTCCAGGGACCCCAGGCGAGAGCAGGAGTTTGGGTTTTGTTTGGGGACAGAGGAGGGACATAAGGGAGGACAGGCTGTGTCACTGCACTGCCCGTGTCTGCCCATCTGTATAATGGGCAGCCACACCCGACCCGGAACCAGGAGCACAGCAGGCACGCAGCCCCACAGCTAGGCACACGGCCTCGCCCCCTGCCCCTACCCCGACACACCCACCACAAGGTTTCACTCCCACCCAGAGCTGCAGCTCAAAAGCTCCTTTAGAGTGACTTTTTTTCCTCAAAGTTAATGGGCAACACATTCTCACAAAGAGAAACTCAGCATCTTGGATGGCTCCAGCAGTGCACACAGACAACCAAGGAATCTCTTAGCCGTGTCTTCGGGGTGGGGGGTGGTGGCTAGGGTGGGGTGAGGGGGTGGCAGTGGCGAGGACAGAAGGAAACCTCAGATGTTAAGTGTTATCCAATTCAGCTTTAGCTAAACAGCCCGAAGAGATGAAATTTGGGGGCTGGGGGAACGCATCCTGGGAGTGAGACTCAGAATGGGCGGAGGCGTGGGGGCACCTCTGGACTGACGGGGACCTGAGCACTGGTGTCCAGTTCTGTTGACATCTTTCACCACTTCCCCCGGCGCCCCCCAAAAATGCCTTTTGGGGTGGGGGTTACACGTCCTCCCTGGGTCCCCACCTTGCCCCAGCCCACCTGGGAGAGGCAGCCGCCAGCTCTGCCCAGGGCACACCCACCATCCCCGGGAGCCCACCCCCCACCGCGGCCGTCTGTTACCTGACAACTGACACTGGCATCCAAAGGGAGCCTCCGTCTGACCCTCACCCTGAGTCCCGTCACCCGAGACAGGGCGCGCGCTGCAGCACGGCAGGGGGAAGCAGGGCGGCAGAGCGCCCAGGGCGCGCAGAGGTGAAGTAATCACGGATGTGTGAGGGTGGGAGGAGGAGGCAGCTATGGGGGCCATCGCTGGCAGCTGGGCAGGCCTGCACGGCCCTGGAGAAAAAACAATAGAAAAGACTGGTCAGTCGGACCCTGGACTGTACAAGGGGCTCAGGGTGCAGAACAGGGGCCCGGGGCAGAGGCTGCAGGCCACCCTTCCAGGGTGGAAGGCCCAGGGGTGCCAGGCCCTGCAGGGAATGCAACCCAAGCACAGACAGGGACCGGGGTGAGGGAAGTGGGCAGGAGCCTGAGGGGGTCCTACTTCCACAGCTGCCAGGTGGGGCTGTCTTGGGGCCAGACTCCCATCCCTGGGGGGCCTAATGCAGGGGGCTGGGGCAAACAGGGGCTGTCAGGGGACGCGTTCCCACGAAGGCCTCCCCAAGGGGGGTTTTCTGGAGTGATCTGGAGTGGGCTCCATTTGGGGATTTGTTCCCAAATATCTGGACCACCCCCCTCTGGAAGAGCCGAGAAACCCCCAACCATCACTGTCTGCTACATCAGGCTGGGATGTCTGCACAGGCCCCGGACACCTCCACGTCCAATCGCCAAGCACTGGTTAACCTCCGGCCTGGCTGACGGCCAGCTGGTGCCACTCTCCAGCCCACAGTCCACCTCGGCAACCTGAGCACCGAGCACGCAGCACCCAAGCCCCACGGCCTTTCAGAAGGCTCTGAACAACACTCCCTCCCCCAAGAAAATCATGGCACCCTCTGGGCGCCTCCCCAGGTCTGACAGCCACGATACAGGGCCAGGGGCCTGCCTGGCCTCCGCCCAGCCCCACGGCTCGCCTCGGCTCCCCGGCAAGGCCTGCGTTTGATTTGGCCGTTTATCTTAAATGGCTAAGAGACCACCAGGGCAAAACATTTATGTGAAGCCCTTGCCAAAACCACAAGTGAAGAAGCCCAAATTCCCTGAGTAAATAATTGAGCGGGGAAGCATCAGAGACAAAAGGAAAACATCAACAAGATGACGGGCAGCTGGGCCCCGGGCCGGCTCTGCCAGGGAGGCCACCCGACGCCGCCCATCAACCCACACAGGTCTGCAGGGGACGGATCTGCCCACTCAGGACCCCCACGCGGGATTCCCCCATCCACTGAGAGCCAGGAGCCTGTCAGTCTTCATCCAGAGTGAGTTTCCCAGCATGCCCATTGCACAGACCAGGAAACTGACGACGCGATCACAGAGGGCTGCAGACAGCAGCAGCCAGTTCCACCAAAACCCCGGCTGCGGGGCCCCAGAACCAGGGTTCCTTCTCTGTGCCCTTGCCTCTCCCAAACATGTGTTATCCAGGGTTGGGGGCATCGGCGCATTTGGGGAAGACCTGCAAATGTCCTGCCAAGAGGCCAAAGCTAATAGCAACACCACTGGGGCCCCTCTGGGCCAACGAAGACCCCCTACCAGGCTAAGCCCAGAGCCTGCGGCATTTCTGGGCCTCAGAAGGGCGTGGCCAAGGACCCCGTGAGCAGTTCCAGCCACTGTCGATGGGCAGAAGGCAACGCTCCAGACTCAGTACAGGCCCGCAAGGAAGGTCAGCACGTGAGGTCCCTGTCACCTGCCTCTTCCTGGAAGCCTGCCCTGGCCAGTCCTTGCCTGAAACCCCCCAGCACTGGACACTGCCCACTTGACCCTGTGCACACGCCGGCCCTGCCTTCAGACCACTTCAGGGCGGAAGGCTCCAGATCATCCTAACTGTGCCAGTGGCTTTGTGCTGAGTGCCTATGGAAGGGAGCCGGGCACAGTTCACCACAAACACTGTGCTCGGCAGGGAAGACCATCCCCACTCTACAGGGGGAACTGAGGCTAGGGAGGCCTGGGACTTCAACCAAACTGTGTGCCCAAAGCCTGGACATGCCCTGCTTCCCTCTGGGGCTGCAGCCTAGGCAGAGGGACCACGGTGCCCCAGGATCCTGAGAGGAAGGGCCGTGCAGGGTCGGGGGGAGCCTGAGGGTCCTTGGACTCAGTCAGGCACTGGAAGCTGCAAAAGACCAAATCGGGTCCCCAGGTTCTGGGTGAGGCCCAGACACAGCTGCCATCATGTACCACGGCTGAAAAAGCCAGCAGGAGGACCAGGGCCTAGAAAGGGTTGTCCCGAGCTGGAAGGGAACAGAACCTCACTCCTCTCCTTCTGGAAAGGCCAGGCTTGGGCCACAGTCTGTCAAGCAAAGTTATCCCCTAACTCCAGTAGGGGTGGGGGGCCGGGCTGCCCCCTGGAGGGGCTTCCATGTGCCTCAGTAGGAACTGTGACCTGCCTGATTTCCGCCTGCTCCAGGGGCCGGCTCAATAGAGGCAGGGGTGGAGGCAGCAAGGGGGAGGGGCTTCCAGTCCAAAGCTGCCTGCAGAGGCCCCTCAGGGTGCTCTCAGAGAACCCTGCGCCCTAGGGAGCACCCCCTGTCCCCTGCAGCAGCTTAAACCCAGAGCTCCGCCCAAGAGTGGACCTCCAGGACAACTCTTCCGAAACTGGTGCAAAAGCCGAAGGCAGTGAAAGAAGCCACCTACTGTGTGATTCCACGTGAGGAAGCGTCCAGAAGAGGCAAACCCAGAGGACGAGCACACAGACTAGTGGCTGCCAGGGGCTGGGGGACAAGGGGTGAGGGCTGATGGGGACGGGGTTTTTTTTAGGGGTGATAAAAAGGTTCTGGCATTAGGTAGTGGTGATGGCTGCACAACATTGTGAATATACTCAAAACCGTTAACTGGACACCTTAAAAATGGTTAAAATGGTGGGGGCAGCCCGGTGGCGCACAGGTAAAGTTCACACGTTCTGCTTCGGTGGCCTGGGGTCCTGGTTCGGATCCCGGGTGTGGACGTGGCACCAATCGTTAAGCCATGCTGTGGTAGGCATCCCACATATAAAGTAGAGGAAGATGGGCATGGATGTCAGCTCAGGGCCAGTCTTCCTCAGCAAAAAGAAGAGGATTGGCAGCAGATGTTAGTTCAGGGCTGATCTTCCTCAAAAAAAACAAAAATTAAAAAATAAAAATTAAAAAAAAGGTTAAAATCGTGAATTTTACATTATGTGTATCTTATCACATTTTTTTTTCAAAAAGCCCAAAGTGAAGGCTATCCCAGGCCGCCTCTCAGCCCTTGCTCCTCCTCAAGAAAGGGGTGTCCATCTTCCAAAGTGCAGCCAGGGAATCCAGACCACACCTGACAGACCAGCTGAGGCCCTGTGACAAGAAACTGACATACAGGAAGTCCGGAGCTCAGACCCAGTCTTGCAGCCAGAGGCCTGGGTTCGAATTTCTCCTCCGCCACTTCCTGGCCGCGTGACCTGAGTGAGTCAATTTCTCAGAGCCTCACCTTTAAAGGAAGATCAGGACAAGCCTGGCTTCTAGTAAACACCCAATGAGGGGTCACCGTCATTCATTTACTTTCCATTCTGGAACTTCTCCTATTCCCTGTGGGTGCTCCCCAGGGCATCGCAGCCTGACAGGGAACGTCTGTCAGGGGCTCTGAGCTCGGGAAGCCACCCTACAAAGTCCCACAGGGCACTCCTTTTAAAAATGCTTTCTTTTGAGGTCTAGGCAGGTTCCCCTCTGGAATCGGAACAGACGTATGTGCACCGAGGTATGTGGCAGTGGGACTCCAAGACGCCATCTCAGCTTTATGCGGGATCCAGGTAGCTTAAAAAGAAAACCCTGGCTGGCTTGATTCCTTATCATGGAAATTCACTTTCATTAGGGAAAAAGAAATAAACAATAAATACACAGATCATCTCACTTAAGCCCAGGACCCTTCCCAAAAGGCAGGTAATATGACTCCCCTCGCACAAACGAGGAAACTGAGGCTCCGTGCCCAGGACCACGTGGCTCATAGGGGTCAGAATCTCGCTCTATGCGTCTCGTACAAAGAGGTACAAAAAAGTCCAAAAATAAGACCACTAAAATGTTTCTTAAGCTCCAGATCAGGGGATAAGGTAATTTTTAATGCATGGGTTCCGAGGGGGTCTGTAACCTGTCTCTCTTCTGGCGGGGTCCTGCCGATGTGTCTGCTCCATTCCACACACATGCGCACTAGCCGGCGAACACGCCCACACCAACCGGCGTATAAACACAAAAACGCGCCTGGAAAAGCCCCAGCCTGGTTTTGAGGGGAACACAAGCCTCTCCCTACGCTGGATCCTTGGGCGTCCCCTCCCACATGGGAGGGTTACAGACTCCTAGCTAGAGACAGGAGCCCCCAAACACACCCAGCAAGAGATGTATATTTTTCTCCCTACTGGTGTCTTTCAATTGATACATTTTTTAAGCCAAGAACTCCTACTGATAGTGCAAAAATGAGTCATAGATCAAGGAGGGAGACAGACAGGGAGTGAGAGCCTGTGAGCGAGGGCCACTGGCAAGGAATTCTGACAATCCCCGCGCCCCCTCCCCCCATGCCAAGACATTAATTCTCACAAGTCGGAGAAAATTACTATGCATGAATGCAAAAAGCATGATCAGGAGTAATTAACATGGCTTCATATGCAAATTTTATTAATGCAGAAGTACAAAGTCATTATGCAAATGAAACTTACGTCAACTCTCTTGACAAATATTCATCTCTGAGGCTCAAGTTTCTCCCTTTTTATTTATTTATTTAATTTTTTCTCTCCCCCCGCCCTTTTTTTTTTTTTCCCTGGGTTGTTTTTTTTTTTTGAAGGGGGGCAGGTAGCGCTGGTGGCCGGCTTTGGCGGCCGCGAGCCACGAGACTGTTTGACAAGTTTGCAAAGTTGTTTTTCAAGCAGAGAAATTTATTCTTGCATTGTTGATTTTTTTTTTTTTTTTTTTTTTTTGGTTGTTGGCAGGTACAAGACAGCTCATAGGAGAAGAGGAAAAAATAAAAATAAAAAAAATAAAAAAGCTCTGGGCAGCAGGCAGCCAATCAAAACGCCAGAGCCTGTAATGAGGGCGATTGATGGCTGTTTGGCTTTTACTGCGGGGTAATGAACTAGAATCCAGTCTGAGGAGGGGGGAAAATATGAATATTCATGAGACTGTGCTCCTGCCTTTGATGATTAAAGAAATTTTTAATATTCAAATAAGCGCTTGCCAAGTGATTAACAAAGAACATGC